TTGCTTTCAATTGGATTCAATAGTCTCGCGTACTTGTTATGTTGATTTTGGTTTTGTGTCTCTCTGATAATTCAGATCGAGACGACGGTCGTGTTTCTGGGATCGATGCTTCAATGTTCTTCGCCATGTCCAACCTAGACAGGTTAGATTCTTACGAATCGATTATGTATTCTGCTGGTACTTGGTTTGAAGATTGACTTTGTTGATTTCGTGAATCCATTGAAAACTTTTGAGACCATGTTAAACCTAGGGCTGACTGGAATTATTTAAATTTGTTTTCTCTCTCTCTCTCTTAACACGCCGCCAAGATCTTTGAATCAATTAGGGTTTACTTTTTCAAGGATTACGGTTTTAATTTAAGTCTAGGGTATCCTTAAAAAAAATTAATTTTAGTTATATATAACGTGTATAATAATACTTTAATTAACATGTAAATTTTTTTAACAAAACGTAAAAGAAAATTCTATTATGTGTAGTAATCTGGAATGGAACAAAATAGCATTTCATTTTATGACTTTTATTTATATAAAACGATGCCTTTTCACTTAAAATCATATATTACTTTCTCGAATAATACTTTTTCTTTCTACAACTTTAAACCATGACTTACGCAGAAAATAATATATTTAGGACTTTACGAATAAATCAATTTATAATTATTAAAAAAAAAACCACACAATTATTAAAGACGAAAACAATTTAAGTATTTATATAGACTTCATATTTAAGAAAAGAGACAAGAAATGTAGTTGTCTCTCTTTTTTTTTTGTCATCTAAAGATATTCTTGAAATTTCAAAGATAATCTTAAAAGGATTGCAAAAAACCTAAAGCTCTCACAAGAGAAACAAAGGCGAAAAATGATTAAATAAATAAACAAAACCCTCTGAAAAAAAAACGAGCCCTATGAAGGGAAAGCAAAAACTAAATATGAATTAAACCCACTTTTCAACACTCACTTTTCAATAATATATTTCGACACTCTCACTTTTCAATCCGAACAAATCCAACCTGAGCGGCCACCGTAAAAACCTTTTCACTACACAAAACCCTCAGAGAAACCCTGCCAAAACCGTTATGCGTTGATGTGTTTTTGCGTACTCCTCGGGTTTAATCTGAAAAGGCTTACCATGGACTTCCTCATGACTTTGTTTACGTTATCATTTCTTATTCTTCTCACTACGTCTTTTCTTTCTTTCCGTTTTAGTCTCATCTTTACCATGAAATAACCTGATATGCGCATCCAATATCTGTGGGGTTTCACAAAGACGCTTGTACTTGGGACATGTATACCACCGTTTTCATCCTCTTCACTTCTTCCGTCTTCCTGATAATTAATAGTCATGGGTTGCTTCAAAGAATTTAGATGCCTTTCAGATTTTCTTCAGTGGACCTGCCATCTTTAGGGACATATTGCTGCACCATGGTGTTTTGGCGACAAGGAAAATGGTTTTAGGTTTTGACGAGATGAAGAATCTTGCAACTTTTCTTGCAAATCTTCTTGCACCTCTTGTAGTAAGCAGCGTACTCGAGATGTCTAGGGATAATATTTTAACGCTGATGATTATTATCCTTAACCTTTCGATTACGCTTATTTACTATAAGAGATGCAAAAGAATTTACAAGAAGAGTTACTAGATTCTGCAATCTCGTCGGAATTAAGACTCAGTTTCCTTGTCGCCAAACACTATCTTGAGCAATCTGTTCCCAAAGACGGCTGGTCCCTGAAGAAACTCTGTAAAGCGACCGAGTTCCTTGAAGAAATCAATGACTATATTGATTACTGAGAAGTAGGAAGAATTGAAGTTGATAAAAACGATGGTATATATACATGTTCCAAGTGTGAGTGTCTTTTTGATACTTCACATATTTTGACTCCGCATATATGGTTAGTTCATTGTAGGATGAGACTTAAGAGGGGAAAAAGAAAGACTTAGCTGAAAAAAATAAAAGATGATATCATAAATAAACTCTATAGAAGGTCCATGGTAAATTTCACATCAAACCCAGCGAGCTTTAAGTCAGCAATGGTCTGAATGCTCGTGTCGTGGACGTGCTTTTGGTTCCCATTTGTTGTGATTCTCCTCCATGTTGTGATCGGGTATGTTTTACATAATAAACAACATGTGTATCCTACTTCTCTTGCGTTGTTGACGTGCTTTTGCTTACTTGTTGGGTTTGATCTGAAGAGACTTACCATGGACCTCCTCATGATTTTGTTTACGATATAGGTTTTTATTCCTCTCATAAATTCTTTTCTTTTTCTTCTCATCCTTACCATGAACTAACCTTGTATGCATAGCCAAGATCTGTGTATACGTCCTATCGTTTCTTCACATATATTCTTTTTGCTTGGTAATTAATATAGTCATTAGTTGCTTCAAAGAGATCAATTGTTTGACGGATTTTCTTCACTGGCTGACCATCTTTGCGAACATATTGCATACAGTGGATGGCCAGAGAAGAAATCAGTAAAGCAATTGAGTTCCTTGAAGCAATTAATGACTATTATGATTACCACCAAGATGAAAAAAGTGAAGATGATGATGAAAACGATGGTACAGCACGTGTCTTTTTGATATTTCACAGATGTTGCACATATAAGATTAGTTCACGATAAGGGTGAGACTAAAGAGGATAGAAAGAAACACTTGCTGGGAAGAATAAAAAACGATACCATAAACAAAATCTTTAGAAGGTCAATGGTAACTCTTTAGCCCTGTGCATTTCGGGTTTTATGACGGAAATTGACGGAAACGAGACGAGAATGGGAAATTTGGGAAATCAAGTATGATACCCGAAGTATTCCCTTATTCTAACGAGACGGGAAATAACGGGAATGAGAAGGAACCGAGAAATTTGGGGATAAAAGATTAATACCCAATCTTAATAAATCGGGAAAATTAATCCCTTCCCATTTTCGTTTTCCATCCCATTATTATAAGGGAATACTTCGATATCATATTTGGTTTTCCAAATTTCCTATTCCCATCCCGTTTCCCTTAATTCCCGTCCCAAGACACGAAATGTACTCACATCCTTTATATTATACATGTATTTCAGTATTGTGTCACAAGTGTACCGGCAAAGTATGAACTTAAGTGGACACTTTAAATGAACATAAAACTCTTTAATTACATATATGATGATTTAGCCGCATTGTGTATATTTTGAAAGTTTTTAATGGAGATGAGTTTGTGCAGGGCCAGGTTTAGAGTCAAGCTAGGTTCCAAAAACCTCCTTAAACGTGTTCATTGCTGTAAACAATACATATAGAAGTGGAAAGCATCATCATTAAATGTTGCAACTGTTGATCAAGTTATGCGGTTATAAACGAAAAGATATGACTCGAAAAGACACAACTTCTTAAATGAGCACAACAAAAGACATTTGTTTTGCTATTATATGGTTGATATTGCTTTGCTTTGCGTTTCTAATCTAATGGTTGAGATGTTGTTTTAATCTAAAGGCTGACGTCATCCCTCCTTAAGAAATAGTGTAGTGTCTTTTTCGAAACATCACATCTCTACAACTACAAAGTACAAACCCTTTAACTAGCACCTTTTCACAAATATTAAAAATTATATAAACATATATCTTTTCACGGTGGAGGAACGTATCTTTTCAATTAGAGATGCATGAGTGCATCAACTCACAATTATATAACGATGCTAACTTTTTTCTCCTAAATCATCGATTATTTGTTTACCTGTTTCATCTGTGAAAAATTCCGGCAACGATTTCAATTAATTGTTCTCTCTGTGAATCAATTCGATTTCGATACTTGTTTCATCTGTAAATCAATTCCGCCAACAATTTCAATTCAGCCTTTTTCCTTGTCCTTCTTTAAGAGGTAAGTGTCTCTTATTGTTCCCCAAGCTACTGTTTATCGATAGATTTTTTAAATATAATTTATTTGTTATCCGTAAAGATTATTGCTAATTTTTCTTCGTATATGATCTTATCCCTACGTTCTCTTTACACTAGCAACATGTTTTCAGGTATAATTGATTTACTAGGGAAAGAGAAAAAAACAAGACGGGACCAAAACTAAGTTTTGCTTAGAATATTGATCGTAGATCGGAGACTTTGTTCAACGATGAACACTTTCACAACCACAACAACGTCAATCACGTACTCTCTTCTCCTTCCCATGTTGCATCGTATCAACTAATTGCTTTAAGTTTACCGAAAAGGTATAATTTGTAAATAGGTGCAATCAGAAAACGTCATGTCTTTTGCCATGCCATTCAACGAACGCTTCTCTTCAATTGCAAACAATATGATACGAGCCTGTTCCTTAGAGCGAGCTCGTGTCGTAGGTCCTAAGTAAGCTATGTTGAACTCAAGAGAATAAGAAAGTAAACTTCCTTTTAACCCTAAACTCTCTTTGAGCTTTAAGGTTAATTCTTGGAAGATGATTCTTGATTGATAATAAGATTAGTTTATATAGGCCATGGGACACGATCCAAAGCCTTAGCTAAAAAGGAAAACAACATAAAAGGAAAAAACACCAACTCTTTAATCTTAATGAAAAAGGAAAAACTCCAAATCCTAAACCTTCTTGCGTCTTTGGTATTTGATACCATCACGTGTATCACAATAGTGGCATCTTTTCACAATTTATATATAGAACGCATTGCATTAGTTTAAATCACTCTCACAAGTGTTGTTGTTAGTTTATAGATTTTCGATTCTCAATCACTTAATCAGTTGGTCTTGTTCCTAATCCGTCGCGTCTGTCACCACATCTCTCCTCTGTTATTATTTCTTCATCGTTTGTCATCGTTATACGTTATTATTCTCGCTATTTTTCTGTTCTACAAAATCTTGAATCACAATCACAATCTGCTTGACATTGTCGTAATCGTTGGTTTGCTGTTCCCTTTCTCTCATCGTCTTTGTGGTCTCCTTGACTGTTCTCTCAACCATCCCTCTGTTTCTGTTTCTACTACGTCTTTGAGTCGATATCGAAGGATAAAAACTCTTCTTATGTTGAATATAGGATTGAAGATTCAAGGCAAAGACGCACTTATGTAAACGTGGAGATGATGTATTCAAGCTTAAGGAACATATTGTAGGACCACATTGCAGGAGCCGTCTGTCGCTTCTCTGATAAAACAAAACAAATCTGTTTTGTCGCACAAGAGCAAGTTTCATTTAAACGAATGAAACCGTGCAAGACGGCGTCAGCGTCGT